TACTTGTGCATGGATGTAAGCCTTTTGGTTGAACTGGACCCTTGCCCTTCATTGCCAGTCGACTCGAGTCAGAAGCGGACTCAGTCGGACGGCTGGTGACCCTAGGACAATGTTTGGTATACTCGAGTATTACCACGAAATTTGGTGGAGAACTGGCCAGTGAATTCAATGCAATGATATCAATGAATGAATGACAAGATCACTGAAGGAGTTTTCACTTGCAAATGTTTTCTAATGTCGGAGGGATAAGAAAAATGGTTGGCGAATGAATGAATGAATAACTTGAATGAATGGCTCCAAGTGAGCACGCGTCCTTCCATTGATTGAGTGTTTATTTCTTGAATGACTGGATATTACTATGCAAAGTATGCAAATTGTTAAATGTAATGTTTCCATGGCTTTCCTACCTAATTGCTTGTTTAGGAATCTCACTGGGTTTTTAGTTCATTCCTTTTGTTTTTTTTTTCCTTACAGGAATGGAGGTCTGAAACAATTAAATGTGAACTAGAGTGTGTAACCCTCTTGTACTTATACTTTTTGGTTGATAGGATATATTTTGACATTTGATGTTGTATCATACGTGTGGCTTTTGGCTTGTAAATAAGTTTATATTTTGGTTGAATTGTAGAACTTAAATGTTATTTTGGAGGGTTGAATGAGTAATCTTGAGAGTTGATCGAGTGAGTGAGTGAGTCCTGGCGAGAGTTGGGCAGGCGGTCCGCCAAACCCTTGGGTATGCCCTAGGGGAGAGGTGGGATCGTCACAACTTCTATGTGCCAAGACTTAAAATATAGTAATTTCATATGATTCGTGTGCACCTATGTTAAGTGAAGAATAAAATCACCAGAATTTTCCCACGAAATATATACTACTAGTACTAATTGAAATCCCAATGGCTATTATTTCATCTTTCCAAGTTAAATGTAGTATGGATAAAAATGTGTTATATCTACAATTTAGTTTATAATTCAAAGTGCTCAATTTACATTTGTATTAAGGTTAGATTGGTATACTATGGTGTTAAACATGAATTAGTAAAAATCATAAGTCATATTCTAAATGATGGAGAAATGGGTAAGATAGCCATGCCATCAAAACAATATGCATGTCACCATATTTTACTAAAATGACTAATATTAAACAAAAATGATAAATAATGGCATCTTAAATAATTAGGAAATATATAGGTTCTTATTGCGCGTAATATAAGCATGGGACAAACAATTCATGTTATTGATCAAGATGCATTTTATATCTGTCAAATAGTCGCAAATATAGTTATTTGCAAATTTCTTTTATGAAAATTACTTTTACACTTTGAAAATAAATTTGTTAAAAAGTTTCATGAAAATAAAAATGTCTGGAAGGGTAGTTGTTTTATACCTACCCATTGTTATCTATTTTTACTAACATAATATAAAATTTTTAATAAAACTAACAAAAGATAATTTCACATATACATTTACATTATGGCATGCTCACATGTTTCAAGAAGCAAGTAAAATCCGATAGATCATGTATCAATGTACAGTAAAGAACACATTCATGTCAAATGATATAGTTTGCTCTTAGAAACAAGTTCCACAGCAGCTTATCTAGGATCTGTTGACACTTCGTCAACCAATTATAATGTCCATAGATCACGACTTGTCTCCAGTTCGGTTTCTATGATCATCCCTCTGTATCGGGCTTGCACGTCAAACAAGTATCCATGGTTCGTCAATCTCTTCGACCAAACCCTTGCCGGTTCGATTCAATCAACTAGCCATAGGGTTGGGTTTAATGCCCCAAGTGTTCAAGTATTCATGATTTGAGTTTGAAACCTAAGTATTCAAGTATTCACGAGTGGAGTCATTGGCTATCACCTAACGCTCAAGCATGTCACGATTGGAGATGTTAGCTATCACCTAACATTTCAGTATTCAAGCATGTCACGAGTTCAAGTCACGAGTTCAAGTCACTAGTAAATAGGTTAGGAAATTCTTCCTTTACCCAAGATTGTCCAACTTACCCGATCGCTCTAAGGTTGGTTTCAAGTAAGAGTTCCAACGAAGGGCCTAGTTCAGCCATTGTCGACCTACATTCACATATATGCATGAGTAACCCAAGGCTTTCCAGATTACCGGATATCTCGAATAAGGTTGCCAGTGAAGAGCCCAATTTAGCTGCTGCAAAAAGATATACAGCCGACCAACATTCATGCACCTGTACATTCAAGTTTGTATGCAAGATCATGTAATTCAAGTTCACGGAGGTCAAGTGCAAATAAGTATACACTCACCTAGCTAAGATCACGTCAAATAAGTTTAGCATGTCAAGTATGTCAAACATTTCAAGTTTTTCAAGGCCAATTGTTTCAAGTCAAGCCACAAGTCACATGTATATCAAGTTACTTGTGCAAGCATATCCATTCACATATAAACAAGATATCAAGAGCTCAGTCAACTTAGGTCGAGTGCGATAAAATATACATTCGTCTATGCAATAATGATTCAGGATCCTTAGCAATTTCTAGCAACAAGTCATATTTGATCAGCAAGTAACATGGAACATGCAACTGGAACACTCACCAATTGACCACAATCTTTCCATTTCAAATGCTGGCTCCTTCTCTTGGTCATTCTTAAGTCCTGTAGTCATATCATACATCAAGAGTCTAGCCACTTCATGCCAGTATAAATGCAAAACTATGAGCATCGAAACTTCACTTAGCAAACAAAGTAATTTGTAGGTTTAATTCCCATATAGCTTGCCAAAAGTGCAAAGTTTTTTTGTTCAAGTCTAGGAAAAAAAACCTCATGCATGATAGCGCAATGTCTCAAGCGACATATAGAGCACAAGGACATCACTTATAGTCAAAATTTTAACAAAAATGGGACAAGACCCTTGAGGTGCAAAGCTAGCAAATTCAAGCAAGAAACATGTAGGAGAAAACTCATTTCCGCCTCTTGTCCCCTTTGTTTTGGCTCAAACCAACATACATATGAAGATCAAAGTCTTGGGAAGTATCTTGAGCAAACTTATGTCAAAATTAGCATACAAATTCTAGCAAGAAAGCTGCAATTTCTCCCTTGCCCTCTCGGCTAACCCAAGTAAAATTTCCAGCAAGGTTATCCCAACTTTGTCTATCAAAGCTTCCCACTTTCAACCTTATTCTCATGGCAAAACACAGTAAATTATGGCTAGCATAGCATGTGTCACATGGGACATATCCTTAGCAAAAACAATCCATCATACTTACACATATATAACGCTTTCACTAAACTATTCACTTCTTATACCAAACTAACAAGTTCATGAGACCAAAGCTAACAAGTTCATGACAATTACTCTATAACTTGAGCCAACCTTATTTCCATGGCAAATGTACATGTTTTAGGCAAGGAAATATTACAAAATTTTGCATATATAATGCTCTCAACTAAGCTATCTAGATCTTGCATCAAAGTTGGAAATTTCAATAACACTTAACAAAATCATGAAATCTTCCATAAACATTATTCATTTAGCTTCTATTACCTTGTACATCAACTAACTCCAAATAAAGGAAGAAAACTAGAAGTTCTAGCAAAGTTCACCTATTTACCTCTAAACCCTAGGGTGGCAAGCAAATTAAGGAAGATGCAAGACTTTTTTTCCCCAAAAAACTCCACTAAGAGCTTCCCTCCAAGCTTCACTCAAGATCTATCGGGGTCGATTAGGGTTGATCATTGGATTTCTCATGGATCAAGCAAGAAATCAAGGCTAGAAATGAAGTATTTTCTCTCTCCTTTCCTTTCTTATATTTCATCCAAGCTATGCAAGAAAGAAGGAAAACAAAAACTTGGTTGGATAAGAAGAAAGCTTGGTCTTGGTCAAGGGTCTTTGGATGCTTGACAAGTGGCAAAGCAAAAATTAATGTCTATCCATTTGTCTCTCATTCATTATACTAACTCTTCTCCAATTAACTCTTAACACCTCTTATCACATAATTCATTTTGTACAAAATTCCTTCTAATCCTCCAAATTTATTGCACACATCTCACTAGTTAGTTACACTAGTATCATGCACTATGAAACTTAACATGCACCAAATTAAATATGTACCAAGTTAAATAAGGTAATAGAGTTAAAAACACACCTTAACCATTAAATCAGCCATAAATTCAAGGCAAGTAAGTTAAAGTCACAAAACATAGGAAACGAATTTTTGGGTCTTCACATTAATAAAATAGATTTCAGTAATAGGATTCGTTATTCATTTTGTATGTGTGATATAGCAATTGCAGATAAAGTTAGTTTTTGTTAGTTAGCCAATAGGGAGAATCTTGTGACGTCAGCTGAAATCATCATTTAGTTAGTTAGTTAACAGACTTAAGCCATTGACTTAGCTAGCTTATAAAAAATGAAGCTGGGAACCAGATGAGGAGAGTTTGGATTCATTTGTAAAATCTACAATTTCATCATTTCCATGTAATCTCTCTCTCATTCAATAATAATTCATGATCATCTTCTTCTTTGATCCTTGAATTACTTCTCTGCAAATTCTGTAATTCCTAGATCAAATATTGCGGACCTCTACTGACCTCTGCATTAGTAGTATCAGAGCTAGGTTAAGTCTGCTCAGTTCATCAATGGCAGAGGGCACTAGGTCTCAGGATGTCAGGAAAATGGAGGAACATGTCCAAACTATGCTGAAGGAACAATAGGAGCAATTTCAAAGGGAAATGACAGCATCACGGAATCTGGTGATCGAATTGCACACACAGAAGGTTCAGGTAGGGGGAAAATGGCTCTCTTCATAATTCAGATACTCCAACCAATAGTAAAAGAGGTTATCAAGTTCTCTCTCATCTATCATGGATTGATTTCCCGAAATGCAATGGGGAAGACTTTAGAGGATGGCTATACAAGAGTGAGCAATTTTTTGAAGTAGATGAGACTCCAAGTTCTGTGAAGCTGCAATGAATTTGGAAGGTAAAGCTCTTCAGTGGCACCAAATTTTCATGAAATCTAGACTTATGAGTGAGGCTCCAGCTTGGGAAGAGTATGAAAGGGAATTATCTTCAAGATTTGGAGATTCATTATATGATGATCCAATGGGAGAGCTTAAGAGTTTGAAGCAATCGGTATAAGAGTATCATGACCTGTTTGAAGAACTCCTCAATAGAGTGGATCTTCCTATAGATTACGCTACAAGCTGTTTTTTGAGTGGATTGAAGCCAGAAATCCAATTGACTATAGGGATGTTTATGCCTAAAAATGTACAACATGCCGTAATCTTGTCCAAGATTGAAGAAGCCAAGATGTTAATGCAACAGAAGGGGAAGGTGTTATCAAAATCCTTAATGAATTATCCGGATCATACTAGTACCTCACAATTCCACGCTAATCCATCTGGTCACAAATGGAAGGTACTTTAAGCCACTACTGCCTTTACCAACTTTTCCAGCACTGCCTTGCAATGAGAAGGAGAGGGAGTTAGTTGTTAAAAAACCCTTTACGAGGTTGAGCAGGGCAGAGATGGATGAAAAAAAACAAAAGGACTTTGTTTTTGGTGTGATGAGAGATTTACAGCTAGGCATATGTGTGGAAGCAAGTAGTTTCACAGGCTGGAAGTTTGGGATGATACGTTAGATAAGGAGGGAAATGAGTCAGAAGAAGAAGAGGACATAGTTGATAAGGGCAACTAGCACATATCTCTCTCAATGCCATGACCAACATGACTATTCCTAATTTCACAACAATGAGGGTCACTGGGCATGTAAGGAAACAGTATGTGAATATTTTCATAGACTGTAGCAGTTCACATAACTTCATTCACCCTAAGTAGTACAAAAGTTGGGGTTAACCACATAGAATGTTGAACCATTAATTGTAGAGGTAGTAGATGGGAATAAATTGACTACCTAAGACCTTTGTCTAGGGTATACCTGGAAAATGTAGGGCCAAGAATTCAAAACTGATCTGTTGGTATTACCTGCAGGGGGATGTGAGTTAGTTCTTGGTATGCAATGGTTGACCACCATTGGTGATGTGAAGTGGAATTTTGGTGAATTCAGGATGGAATTCGTGTAGAATGGCCATAAAATGGTCTTGAGAGGAATGAAATAGCAAGGGTTACAATTGGTAAGATAGAAGAAAATGCAGAAAATACTTTAGAAATCTGAGCAGATTGTAAAAGCACAAATCTGTCTGATTAGAGTAGTGCAGGACCCTAAATCAGGACCATTATCTCTTTGTACCATTTCTACTGACATGGGTGGAGGGCAGGTCAGTAATTCACTAGAAAAACAATTGCTGGGTGAATATGATTTGTTTCAAGAATATACTAGTTTACCCCCAAAAAGATTGCATGACCATAAAATTGTTCTAAAGGAAGGGACTAAAATTAATGTAAGACCCTATAGGTATCCTTTTTTTTTTCAGAAATGTGAGATTGAAAAATTGGTAACCAAAATGCTTGTATGTGGTATCATCAAGGCTAGTTCTAGTCCTTTTTCTTCTCCAGTACTTTCAGTGAAGAAGAAAGATGGGTCTTGAAGGATGCATGTTGACTACAGACAACTGAATAATGCCACTGTAAAGAATAAGATCTCTATTTTCTTGATAGAAGAACTATTGGATGAATTATTTAGAGCAATGTTCTTTACCAAGTTGGACTTGAGGTCTGGATATCACTCGATCAGAATGAAGGGAGAAGATGTGGAGAAAAACAGCTTTCAGAACTCATGATGGCCACTATGAGTTTTAGTTATGCCCTTTGGGCTAACTAATGCCCCTTCAACCTTTTAGAGTCTGATGAATGACATCTTTAGACCATTTTTAAGGAAATTCATTTTGGTTTTCTTTGATGATATTTTGATTACAATTGTAGTTGGAAGGAGCATTTGCAACACATTAAGATTGTGTTTGAACTGTTGAGGTAGCATACATTGAAGGCAAAGAAAAGTAAGTATGCATTTGCTTAGCAGCAAATTGATTATTTGGGGCATGTTATTAATGTTGAAGGAGTTTAGGCAGATCCTCAGAAGATTTCTGCAATAGTGAGGTGCCCAATACCTCAGACAGTCAAGGAGCTAAAAGGATTCTTGGGACTCACAGGGTACTATAGGAGATTCATACAAGACTATGGGAAAATTGCAAATCCTTTGACAGATTTGCTTAAGAAAATTCAATTCCAGTGGCATGATGTGGCTACCAAGGCTTTTAGGAGGTTGCAGGAATCCATGAGCAGTACCCCTATCCTAGCTTTACAAGACTTTACTGAGGAGTTCATTGTGGAAATTGATGTTTCTGGAAATGGGAATGAGGTAGTATTAATGCAGAGAAGGCGATCTCTAGCCTTCTTCAATAAAGCATTGGGCCCCAAGCATTAGGCTCTATCTGTATATGAAAAAGAAATGTTGACTATAGTAACTGCAGTTTTGAAATGGAGAGCTTATTTGATAGGAAGGCATTTTATCATTAAACTGATCATCAGAGTCTGAAGTGTATAATTAAGCAGAGAGTGCACGCATCATTATAGTAGAAATGGGTAGCCAAACTAATGGGATTTGATTATGAGGTACAATATAAGAAGGGTTGTGATAATATTATAGCAGATGCATTATCCAGACGACCACATGAAGGTAGTTCAATATGTACTGTAGTCACTATCACAATTTCCTTAATCAAAGATACACAGCAAACTTAGCAGTAGGATGCACAAATTTAGGAATTGGTTCAAAAGTTAACTAGCAGTAGTCAACATTCCAACAATTATTCGTGGTAGCAAGGATTGTTTAAAAGAAAGGTAAATAGTTGGTTGGCAATAATCAGACTTTAAGGGACAAATTGATTGCTTTGTGGCATTCTGGCTCATAGGGAGGACATTCTAGTGTGGAGGTGACTTATAGAACACTTAAACAGGTTTTGTATTGGCAGCTCATGTTCAAGGATGTGGCTCAGTATGTAGCATCATGCGACACCTGTCAAAGACATAAGTCAGATAATGTAGCTTACCTTGGATTGTTGCAACCATTACCTATACCTCACAAAATTTGGGCTGGCATTTCTATGGATTTTATTGAAGGATTACCACTCTCACATGGAAAGAAGTTGATCCTAGTAGTGGTCGATAGGCTCAGCAAATATGCTCACTTTATAGCTGCAACTCATCCTTACACAGCAATCTCAGTTGCCCAAGTATTCATGGACTAGATTTACAGACTACATGGTCTACCTTAGACCATTGTGAATGATAAGGACCCTACTTTTTTTAGCTCGTTCCGGTAGGAGCTCTTCAGATTACAACATGTCCAGTTGAACATGTCCACTTCTTACTGTCCCCAAAGTGATGGCCGGACAGAAGTAGTTAACAGATGTTTGAAGAACTACTTGAGGTGTATGACTAGTGATCATCCTAAAGACTGGAGTTTATGGCTGCCATTAGCAGAGTATTGGTATAACACAAATTACCATTCATCTGCTAAGTTCACTCCTTATGAGATAGCCTATGGATAATCTCCTCCTCTTCGTATTCCTTACTTGCCAGAGGCCATATCAGTTGAATCTGTTGACAGAAGCTTCCATGCAAGGGCATGAGTCATTCATTCTCTAAGGCATAATTTGACCAAAGCTCAACACAAAATGAAACAATTAGCTAATAAACATAGTACTCAAAAAGTAGGTAGGTGCAAGATCCATTCAAGCTCATATTCCTGCTGGGGTCACACACCAGGATCAGTTAATGTTGGAACCAATTGTTGTACTAGATAGGCATTTGGTCAAGCATGAAAGGGTTGCTACTCAAGTCTTTGTCCAATGGAGTAATAGTTTTCCAAAGGATGCTACTTGGGAATACTTGCAAGATTTACAGCTACAATTTCCCAATTTCAGTTCTTGAGGACAAGGACCATTTGAGGGGAGGGTATTGATGCACATGTCAATAGACCAGATTTCATTAATAGGATTGGTTATTCATTTTGTATGCATGATATAGCAATTGCAGCTGAAGTTAGTTGTTGTTAGTTAGCCAATTGGTACTTGAGAATCTTGTGACGTCAACTGAAATCATCATTTAGTTAGTTAGTTAACCGACTTCAGCCACCGACTTAGCTAGCTTATAAAACATGAAGCGGGGAACCAAATGAGAAGAGTTTGGATTCATTTGTAAAATCTACAATTTCATCATTTCCATGTAATCTCTCTCTCATTCAATAATAATTCATAATCATCTTCTTCTTTGATCCTCGAATTACTTCTTTGCAAATTCTGTAATTCCTATATCAAAGATTGCGGACCTCCGCTGACCTTTGCATCACAATTTCTCATAAATAGGAAACGGGAGATTTTTTTTTTGTTTATACCCTAAAAGTATCTAAAAATCATGGTGAAATCCTCGGTTCATCGATATCTGATGTGTCAATAAGGGTTGACTCAATAGACTCGATCGGTCTTTTGAGTCCTGGAGTCAACTCAGCCTAAATCTTTTGAGTCTTAATGAGTTTCCACCGGATCTACCATCTCCGTGATATTGCGAGACAGAAGCTGAAGTTCCGATAATGACTTGAACTCGGCCAGAGTCTTTGAACCATGGTCTACTATAGTATCAAGTTACTAGGTTCAGAAATTTGGGAAAATTTAATCCTTTTCCACTTTCATAAGTATCTAATTTGGTTTACGTCAAGTTTTGAGTGACTGGCAGTTTGATTTAGCTATAGCCATGGTTCGCCAAATCGGCCGAGTCCGAGTTGACTCGGCCTAGTCATACCGGAACTGGACTCACCGGTACGATACCGACACCTGCATCGCCGTTTCACCGGAATCCGAATTGACTCGGATTGACTCGGTTGATATTTACTGAGTCAACTCAAATCAATAAGAAATCAGTAAAACTTACCGAGTTTGGCCGAGTCAACTCGCGAGTCAGACAACAAAATCATCCACATGATTTCTTCTTTCTCCCACCGGTTGCCATCCTCATTCCATCACTTCTGCTAGTGCAACCCATCATGATTAGTTGAGGTTTCTTGAGGGTTGTGATTGTAAGACTCGTAATTTCATTGGGATTGATCCTAATCTTTAGATTGGGAGTGATCCTAATCTTCAGATTGGGAGTACGAACAAGAAGAATTGGAGCAAATTTGGAAGTAAGATGAATCTGTAAAAATTTTGTGGGATTCGGGGTTTTGGAGATTTTTGTGGGTGGTGGTAAACTGGTAATGGTTGTGGAGCTTGAGAAGAGAGAGACAGAGAAATAAAGGGGGGAAGGCGGTGGAAAGATGAATCTGTAAAAATTTTGTGGGATTCAGGGTTTTGGAGATTTTTGTGGGTGGTGGTAAACTAGTAATGGTGGTGGAGCTTAAGAAGAGAGAGACAAAGAGAAATAAAGGGAGGAAGGCGGTGGAATGGAAGGATGTTTTCTAGGGATTATGGGAGGCAGTGTAGGTTGTGTATGTGGGAATGTGAGGGGATAGAATGGAGTGAGGAGAGAGAGAGAGAGAGAGAGAGAGACACCCAACAACAAAAAAAGAAAAAGAAAAAATTGCAGCTAAATCACAGGTCACTTCCTTTCCAACTTTCTCTGTAACCCGAGCAAACATTTCTTGATCAAAGGGGGGATACCTAAAACTTTATTCCTCTATTTTTTTATTGCTTTTGCGTTTCCATTCATTCAACATTTCAACCCCCCTAACACCAAGGGAACAAGATTAGAATAGTCCAACAAATATTAAATTGGATTAGTTAACAACAAATGAACTGGATTTTTTTCAACATCTTTTGTTTATTAAGGTGGAACTGCGTCATTTTTTTTAAAAGACTTACATGGTATCTATGTTAACTTAGGTTTTTTTATCAAATTTAATTTGATAGTTATATTGCTTATATTATTTTTTATTTTAAATATTTTTTTTAGAATTTTTGAAAGTTTTATATACTTTAACTTGCATATCACCCGATATTTAATCGATATGCCGTGACGGATGTGGAACAGCCGTGACGGATGTGGAACAACCGCGACCCGTGACGGCGAACCATGGCTATAGCAGGAATACATAATCAGGCTATTCAATAGTCAATACTAGACTGGAGCTTTGTTCAATCTTATGCTCATGAAAATTTAATCCAGGCTTTAACATGCTGTGTAGACTGATTAGGCTTGTGGACACCCTAGAGTTATATCACATGAATTTTGCTTGTGAGTTTCAAATGGCAAGGCTCTTTTTTTGTGTGTGTGTTTAACCACTTGGGGAACAAATTCTTTCTTGCTTTGTCTGCTTGGCTAGCAGATTATTGTTCATTGCTAGCTTTAATGAGATAATTTATGTTGTCTGTTTTGTTTAACCTCTTAGGGAACAAATTCTTTCTTGCTTTTACTGTTTGGCTAGCAGATTATTATTGAGTGCTAGCTTTTATCCAGATAATTTATGTTAGTGACCTGCTTAGATATGGCCGCACTTAGTTACTGATTAATCTGGATACTCGACAGCTTTGCTCAACCAGGAAGAAATGATTATTGTTGAGTGCTAGCTTTAATGAGACAATTTATGTTAGTGACCTGCCAAGTTATGGCCCCATTTAGTTACTCTGATTAATCTGGATACTGGACAGCTTGCTCAAGCAGGAAGAAATGAGTGCTTACAAGGCTTTTAAAGCATGTGTGCCAATTGAAGCTCTATAGGCAGACATTAGAGGCGCTGCACGTCTGCAAATGCAACCACACAGTTGTGCGGAAAAATACTCCTACAGTTCGTGGAATGCTTCAGCAGATTCTCAAATTAGCTTTTGCTTCAAACACATGTTTTTTTTTGGATGGGCGAATTCCTCTTGTCATTTGGCAATTGACAGCTGTTGAATAAGATTGAAAAATAGAATTACATGGTATTTTTGTCTTAACAGGTGAAAAGATTGGTTGCTATTGAGGAGAAATTTCTAATGTGGTGATGATTTTTAAAAAAATTCTACAAAGGGGGCGTTTAGGGTGTCATGTTCTGTAAAGGGATGTTCGCATTTGTCAAATGCGAGTTCATTGAGACCGCATTTGCTAAATGCGAATTATCCCCCATTTTCCAGCCACCGAGATCCAAAAAAAAAAAAAGAAAAAGAAAACATGACCTCGCATTTCTTGAATGCGAGGTCATGTATCTCGCATTTCTTCAATGCGACGTCATGTACCTCGCATTTAACTGCGAGGTATATATCTCAGTTTCCCATCATTGTTTCGTATGATGCTTCCATATTTTGGTATGATTTTTCTTTTTGCTTCAGCTGTAATGCCATGTACTCAATATAAATGATTTAACTGCAAATTATAAAATGATTTACAATTTGCAATGAAAGCGTCTACAAATTTTAGCAGTTAAGGCTCTAAATTCATTAGAACTGGAAAAAAATCCCATAATATTGCCATCAATAGTTGATAATAATTTGGGGCAATAAATCTTAATCAAACTAGCAAGCTTTTTGGTTGGACTGTATCTTGCATCCGATAAATACGAATTCCTAGAAAATTGCATCAAAAAATTTTAATATTTTTTAAATTACTTTTTAAATTTGTTTATTTGTTAAATTCATTCTTAATAATTTGTCATAAACTCTTTGTTATTAAAAAATATATGTAGCTGATGTTGTAAAGTGCATTAATCTAGTAAGTCAACCATTTTTGTAAAGTGTATTAATCTGGTAATTCAATAATTTAAGTACCTATAAACTAATTGAGAATTCGTAGCTACTCAACTACTTATAGTAAAAGTAACATATTATATACCACATAAAAAAGAAAAGTTAGCAATTATTATTTGTAGTGAAATAAAAAATAAGAATGAACAAGAATAGTAGTTTATTTTTTTTGTTATTGATACTACTAATAATTGATTAATCAATTTCTCTAATTTGCTATTATATATTGGAAAAGTTAAATTTCTTAAATGACATTGAATTCAACATTTGGGGAAAAAATCTTTTACTCACATAGATTTTTTGTATAAAATATTGACCTACGAAATTAAGAAATAAACAAATTTTGACTAATCTAGTCTAATTATTTAAACAATGTTTAAAGAAAAAAAAGAAGAATTTAAAAAGAAAATTAACAAATAGGATAAATTAAAAGGGATAAATTTGTCCAAACATATCATTCAAGAGGACAAAATGCCTATTATTATAATTTAGGGGATAAATTGCAACTGGGTATATAGTTTATAGGGGTTTTTTGCATTAACCCTTTATCAAATGATTATTACGTGATTATTTATCTTAGGGTTAATCGCACTTTATCCCCTTTAAGTATAGGCCATTTCTCACTTTATCCCCCAACGTTTGTTTTTCCTCAGTCTACCCCAAAAACTAGCAGTCAACTCTAATGGACATAAACGGAATATTGAAAAGACAATAATATCCTTATGAAAATATTGAACAACCCAAAATACCCATATATGCTGGTTTATGAAATGCAAGTTTCCAAAATTACCCTGGAATAATGGAGGGAAATTTCCCTCCATCTGGCATGGGACAGAAAAACG